GTGTCGTGGTAGCAACATGCTATGTGTTTACATCCATCGCCGCCATGTTTGTAATGACTTATTGCGAGAACAAACGTATTCACGTGACTTTAATAACATTTCTTACTTAATGGAAACACTGCAGTTGTGAAACTGATTTTTTTTCAACATTAATAGAATATCGACAAAGTTTTGCACACATTTGCAATGGAAACGCAGTTATTGACAGACGGGGCTGCCACAGTGCCCCGCCATCTGTAGGCAAAGCGGGTGAAGTGCCTTKCCAAAGGACACGATGACTCAAGACAGCTGGAACGGGGGATTGAAATGGCAGCCCACCGGTAACAGGACAACTCCCCTAACCACTCTGCCACAGAGGTCTTTTTGTTTTATCAGCTGACTTAAAATGGTGGAGTTCTCCTTTTTTCCCAATGATTTAATAAAATTAAATATTTTTTCTAATTGTCAAAAATCACTGGAATAATAAATGGAAGTTGCCAAGGAAAAGAGTTCATTTCCTTTGCTAAATAAAAACAGTAAAAACACTTTGTCTATTKTTAACCCTAGATACTGAGTAGTAGTGTTATATACAAGGTGCATACAGGTGAAATGTCCCATTAAAAATAAAAGCCAAAACAAAGATGTTATGGGGTTTAGTAGAGGAAGGTGGTAATAAAAAATACCTGTGGAATAGGACGCGTTTTCTTTGCTTTGCCTGTCTGTTTCTTCTGCTAGATGGGAGGGAGGGAAGGCGAAAAAAGGAAGGAAAGGTTAATGCAGGAAAGTGATTATTTTTAAAAAGAAAAGAAAAAACAAACCAAACCAAATTTTAAGTCAGGATCACCAACATCAAAACATATGATAAAGATGAAAAAAGAAAAATAATCATTGCAGGATTAAAGATAAAAATGCAGAAAATGGAAAAATATCGAGGGAAAGTCACCAGCTGTTGGTATTATTGGTAGTTACCAATGCTGAAACTCCACAAATTTATACTTCAAATCAGCCTGAACAACACTCACTAATCACACTTCAATGTTCAAGATCACTGAAGCACAATTATTAAAGTAAGCAGGGGTCTCTGCAGAACATGTTCTGTGGGCGGAGACGGCCTGATTGATCGAATTGACGGTTGGGTTTGATTGGTCAAGTCGGGCAGGAAGCAACCTGTTTTTTAAGATTAATTTTAGTCATAACTTGTACATGTTAAGGGATGAGTAACAATATGGCTCAAAACATCCCTAAACAGCCTGTAAAAAGATTGCTAAAAATCAATATTTTTTACAGGCTGGTTAGGGATGTTTTGAGCCATACTGTTACGCATCCCTCCACATGTACGACGTTCAAATTTCGTGCAGCTAGCACTTTCCTTTCTCAAGTTACGACTAAAATTATTCGTTAAAAACAAGCTACTCCCTGCTGCCTCCAGCCTCCTCAAACCCCACCGTCAATCTGACCAATCAGGAGTAGGGCTGTCTCCACCCACATCAAGATCTCCTCCAATCAGGAGTAGGACTGTCTCCGCCCACATCAAGACCTCCTCCAATCAGGAGAAGGGCTGTCTCCGCCCACAGGACATGTTCTGCAGAGACCCCCTTCTTCAGTTATTGAACTTTCTTGCATTTTTGCACTAGTTTTAACAGTTGAATTCAAGCCACGAACAATACAAACCTGGAAAAACAACCTATTCTACAAGAGGTTTGACCCTTTTTTCTCCAACTAAGGCAGAACAGTTTTAGACCCACAGTTGTTGAGTAAAAATAAAAATACCATTTACTGCTGTCTAATTGTTTTTATCAGTGCAAACCTTTCTTGATCAATTTTAGCCATTTGCATTTAGAGCCTTTACTGCTGTTAAATTGTTATTCTGTAGTAATGCTTTAAACAACCTCAGATTGAGTTATTTTCTTGACATGACAGAGATGAGTGAGAGTTAAAATTAGTTTCTACTGAAAAGGTAAAATTATAAACAAAATGCTGCTCGAACTACAGTTCTCTTAACTTAATGTGAAAATAGTACAATCCATGTATGTACCTCTGTCTCGTTTTATATATTTAACCAGGTTACTGTCTGAAGTGTTTCCAGGCTCTAGTTTGCTGCAAACATGCACCTGTGACGTTGTAAAGCAGAGACCCCCACCTCCACCCCACTGTCCTGCATGCTTTCCTTCTTCAACCACTGGCAAACCTTCAGGGCCTTCAAGGTATTTATTCAGTGGAGGCCCAGAATAAACCCAAAAATTTAATTATTATAAAACAAAACAATATTTTTCACAAAGAAACACAAGCTTGTTTAATGAGTTGCATAAAAGCACTAAAATACAAGATGTGATGTAAGAACTGTAACAAACATGAAAAATGTAGGATTTTTTTAACCATCCAGACAGATAGGCTAGAGAAAATGAAGGACAGATTATTTCGTTATTAAATGAACATTATTTGTGAGATAAACAGYTTGTGTTCACTTTGCAGCTGCAGTATTAACAATAGACGCTTGTCACTTTGTATTTCTGCAGTTCTCTTCATTTCCCAGTGTGGGGATATGGAATAAGAACCAATAAAAACCTGTAGAACCCTTTAGTTCCTACACACGAACCATTGATCCTGACTGTAAAAGGGTCATGTTTGTTATGCATCTTGACTGGTTTGCTTTGTTCATGTAACAAACAAAAGGCCTGACGCATTTTAAAAAGACACAGTCTATACTCATTGTGTATGGATCATTGTGATGTGAACCCTGTATAAAACAGTTCAACAAGCTGTGTGGTCAGGTTCCTGCACACTAACTGGGCAGTGTTGCCTCAGAGCTGCCTCTGCACCCTGTTCAACACACAGCTGTGTGTTTGTGTGCTTGTGGAGTGTGTGTGGGGTGTGGCAGTTGTGATGGGAATGTCTGGCCACTGGCTCAACACACCTGGTTTAAAGAAACCAGTCTTGAACAGGCTGTTACACATGTGACAGGATGTAAAACACGACAGATCAGCACACTCAACAACACCACTCTGAACCACTGCTCACACTGACTCTGTGCTCCGGACCGTTCTGACTGAAAGCAGATTTTACCTCCAAATCTGGACATGATCGCTTGGCAGGAGGAGAACGAGAGTCCCCGGTCTCCTCTGCTTCTTTAGACAAGTGCTTCAGCATTATACACTTCTTGACTGGAAACCCTCTGCACAGAGACACACACAGGACATTCATTACACCATCAAAACTACTGAGCATCAAGATTTCTGTAAAAAAAACGAGGCCAGTCTTGATGACATATCTGTGGTGGTGTTTAAACTGATCAAATGATTTTTACAGCTGTTGCAGACATTAAGGCTGGACTGGTCAAAGGACTGTTGTTTGTGGAACAAAAGGACACACAGGTCACAAAGGCCAGCTCAAATCTCTCTCCACACTGGCGAGAGAGATTGGGGATGAGATCCTCTCGTCACTGAGGTCCTCCATCCACATGACAAGAGAGGGGAACACAAAAATGACTCAGTCTGCAACTGAAAATATGGATGGAGGACCTCAGTAGAGCTTGTTAGTTTGTAGCGCTACCGCTGAGCTAATACATATAAGGCAATATAACACGAGCGCTAGCGCAAAGGCTAACAGGCTAATCTGAGGTTGTTCTTCCATGAAGCAGCTCTGTTGTCCTCCATCCATATTTTCAGTTCCAGGCTGAGTCATTTCTACCTTCTCCTCTCTGTCAACGCTCTCTGGTTTCATTTAAAAGAGTCGATCATCAGATATTGTCCAAGATTAACCTTCAGGGTGGATATAGCTCGCTAGCAGCCTCGCACCGAGGACCTATCCACGTCATYATTTACCCAGAATGCTTTGTGTGTAAATAAAATGGGTCCGTCCGTGTTAAAATATATTTTAAAAATGATAAAAACAGCCTACAGTATTTTTAGTCTTTATTTTACAGTTAAAATAAATGTTAATCAAATAAAGTTTAATGTTACAACTAATCAGGGATCCTTTAATACTTACTTGTCTCTGCATTTCTGAAGAGCTTCATCAGATAAGAGCTTCAGGTTGATCAGCTTATCTCCTCGATAGAAACCATCTGAACAATGAAAGGGAAAAACAAGAAGCACATTCACAGCAGACTGGTTTGTTTAGATTCAGAGCAGCTAAAATACATTATTGATTAGATCCACATTTTCAACATAGCTGGAAATGCAGGAATTAGCGTTTTTACATATCTAATGTGAATTGAAATTTTTATGTCCTAGAAACATGAAGCTAATTTCATTTAAGAATATAAAAATAAAGGCCTGTCTCTAAAGAATATCATATAAGGTAGTGGTTTTGTATTTTAAGACTTTGGGCTAGAAGTTGATGCTTCATCCATTCTTTTCCAAGTGTGATACTTATTTTACTCTTTTTTTCCCCACTAATATTGGAAGGACTTGGTCAGGTCTACACTCTAAATGTTAATTCTGTCTGTAGGGTTATTTTTTCCACACTTAAATAATTTAATATTACAACATAAACTGTAGTTTATTTATATTTAATMTCCTATTTTCCTAATGTAACCATGCTAATGCCACTGAGATCACAGATAATGCTTGACACCAGATCTGGCTCACACCTGTTTGCTATGTGGGACCATAAAAATCAAAAAGTAACTAATTAATTTAGTCAGCTTGAATAAACGTACCTGCTTCGGCTAATCAACCTTGCAAACACAAAGGATTATAACTCAAACTATACACTCTGAGCTAAGATTTGGTGGTGTAGTAGCTGGGAGTCATCACTAACAGAATGCATGAGCTGTTTGTTTTTAATGTTAGGCGTCGGCCATTTTACCTCCAACAATGCTAGTTTCAGTCATGTGAGCAATGACCAACTCAGTCAGGAATTAAAAGTTAACAGTTTCAGTTTGTTTCGGGATGTTTGCTCAACAGTATGGTTTCACCTTTTCATTTGATCATTTTTACTTATTAGCACAGTTTGAAACTTCCAGTTTAAAGACAGGTAATATTTATTATTGTTTCTGAAAGAGAAACCTTTTCAGCAAAGCATCCACCTATGAAAGGATATCAATAATAACAATGTACCAAATGTATATATTTATATTTATATATGTGACCCATCACATCGAAAGGAGGAACAGGTCCAAAAGTGGGATGTGGAGAAATATGCAAATATAGAGTTTTCATTTAAATGTGTGCAAAAACCACTTTTTGTCTAAATATAATGAATTAATGCCTTATCAATGAATCACTTGAATGAACTGTCTGAAATAAAATCCTAAAAAAAAATTTGAAGCATTTTTTTGAGCCGTAGCAACAAAAAACCTGATTTTGAGGGAAAAAAACGCCTTAAAATTTTGAAATTTTCCTTGTGAGCTGGCAATGTTTTTGCTCGTTTACAACTGGGAAATCTTAATAATACTATTTGAGGTTTCCTCTTTATATTGACATCAAAAATTACTTAATAAATATATATAAAATTAGGATTCAGACCTAACAGTAATGTGTTCTCATAACAAACATGACAAATTAAGTCATATCTCTGGACAAGCTTAGGATATCAGAATAATCCAGGTACCAAAATGTAACTTTTAAAGCAAGAATCTGTATATATAATTAGGTCATTTTGACCAAATTTGACTTAATCCTCATTTCGATATGATGGGTCACACATTAGGGTTGGGCATAATCGTATCGTCTGCAATTAATCGTCAGCAAAACAATCGATTATTTTTTGGCACTTGATGATTAATACGATTAATGCCACCAGGCAGACTGACTGGATATATCCCCGGTCAGTCCGCTCGGCGCTCCTCTCCGCTTCAAATATGACGAACACTTAAACAAAAGTTCTGTAATTTATTTATCAACACAATTTAAAATTTGATGTATAGCCTGAAGTCTGTGATTTTGACACAGTTTGAAAAAGATTTTTAC